TTTCATTCCAGTTGTGTTGCCTATCACTGTAGCGACTATTGTTTCTATTTCTTGTGCTGTTCGCCGCTCTCTGATTGTGACAGATCGTGAGCGGCACCAGTTTTATCACATGCACTTGCTAAAGCCTTGCCTGATGTCTACGTCTCGTCTACATCCGTTTTTCTTTTGGCATGACCCTCGCTTATCGAATCCTCCACCTACCTTACCCTGTGCCGCTACATCTGTCATAACAGGGGTTGCCCTTTCCTTGTGGTTTCTATTTCAGATTTTTCGCTTTTCATGTCTCGTTTCATTGCTTCTATTTCGTCTGCTACTTTCCGCTCCCATATATTCTCCGCTCGTGACGCTTGCTTATCACATCAACCAAGTTGCCCACTGTCGTCTGTATATTTTCCTTCCTTTCTGTTCTTCTTTCATCGCTTATGTGGCCCTTCTAGGATACGTCCTCAAGCACTGCAGTACCCTCTTCATTCCTTTCTGGATATGTTCTTTAACTTTCTTCTTCACTCTTTTCGCTCCCACTTAATTTCTTCAATCATTTATGATTTTACCAACTTTTTCTTCTTCCTTCTTTCTACCGTTTCAAGTACCATTCATTTCCTCAATCTCTCCGCTATCTTTATTTTCTCATCGATGCATCTGTTGCATTATCTTCCTATTGTTCTCTTCTTTTATTCCCCTTCTCCTTTAATTCAACTTCCCAATCTTTGTTCTCCGCTACTGGTACTATGTTGTTTTTATGATTTTCCTTATCAAATATATTTGCTGTTCCTCCTTTCCTCTCCTTCCAACACTCCTTTCTCTGTGTTTATCTCTTCTTCCGTTCTCTTCCAGCCGCTACCCTTCTCAGGCATCTCTCGAACCACGTTCGCGTCATATCACTCCCGAGATATAATGTCCCGAACGTCTTTTCTCTTTTTACATAATCGAAAAGGACGGTGGGGGTAGGCAGGAGGCACGCCCCTTTTGAGGTCCTCTTTACACCGCCCTCACCCCGCCGTATTTCAAAACTCGTACGAAAATCATTACCAAATTCTGAAGGATAAAATCTTCACGAGCCTCCGCGAAGGGGTTGCCCGCCTCCCTCCCTCTCGGCGGAGAGCCCCTTCGGTCTGGTGCTGGCCCCTTCGCATCTCGCGTCAACGGCAGTGGGATTGGATCCACTCTCTAGCAAAATCCCTCCTGGTCCCCCTCTCGCTCTTCCCCAACCCCGCAGCGCATTCTTCGCCCGCAACCCCCGTCCCCCTCCGCCGTGCCCCGCTTGGCATCTCCCCGCTCGCCCGATTCCTGTCTTTGCCTCTCGCCCCGCTCCTTCTCTTCCCTCAGTTCTCTTCTTCCTCTCCACGCGCCACTTATCCCGCCCTCTCATACCCGCTCCTCCCTCCCTACGCTCCTTCCAGATTCTCGCCCTCCCCTCTCACTCCTTTCCTTCTCTTCACTTCTCACTCATCCCGTTGATGTTCTCTCTGGTCCTCACGTTTTCGTGTTTACTTCCACGTCGCCTGATTTGCGGGACGCACGTCCGTGCGTGCACTCTGCAATGCTCTCTCTCTCTCTTTCTTTCTCCCCTCTCTTTCTCTCTCTCTCTCTCTCTCTCTCTCTCTATCATACCCACTGCTCTCCGTTTATCCATCCTCCTTATCACCACCGCCTCCACAATATTCGCAAGCGAAAATCGATTCATCCCTTCCCCTCCATTCCCTTCCTCTTCACCCTCTACCCGCTGTCCGGGAGTTTGGAGATCATACGGTGCAAGCTTTTCACTCGCGTTGCTCTCATTAAGGTGAAGTAATCAAATAACTTGAAATTACATCGCGCGAATATTGAGGCTCATTTCGAATTTACTGGCGGTCAAATGGAGTGATTCAATTGCGATCATGGCGGCGTCGCTGTCGATAGCGGCGATCCCAGAGCGCTTGGCGTCGCGGTGCTACGGCGTCCCGCAGTTCACGCGCGTTGGCGCCGCCGCCGCCAGAGTCGCTGGCGTCGCAGCCGCGGAATGACGTTATTCCGCGTTAACACGCCGGCGCACGTTGAGAGGCAAAAAATGAGAAAGTTTAATTCGGTCGTTATCGGACGGCGGCGGCGGCAGCGGTGATGACGCAAGGGATAGTGTGAGCAGGTGGAAGTGGAGAATACGGAAGGGCATCACTTGCCAGATCCGATTCTGACTTTTGGAGAGAAGAAAATGCGGGGGAGTTTGGGAAACAAGCTGCTAATGGTTTTGTGAACGATGTGCTTAACTGTAGGATAAGAAAGCCATATTCTTTGGTGTTTGGGAGAGACGACGTTTTGAAATTATAATAATATCAACTTTAACTTCATATAAACTGCTGTGAGACTATATTGAACCGAATCATTCTTAGATATCTCAACCGTTTTTGAAATAATAATAATAATAATAGTAATAATAATAATAATAATAGTAATAGTAATGATAATTACGAAATGTAAATAAAATATGTTAAAAGAAGAGCGCTGACTCACAATAAGAGAAAGAGGTAATGAAGGGAAAAAAACGAAGAAGCTTCTTCATCCCGATCGCCATTGCAGTTATGACCATCATCACCAGTCATCGGCATCTCATCTTTCCGGCAGCCCGGCCTCCTGCGGCGGGTGCGAGCGGTG